CTTCAATCTGTGTAAAATAAATAAATAAAAATAAACATTTGATACTATTTTTTTTCTTAATATTTAAGAACTCAGCTTGGTGTCCATGACTTCTGACTTGTGCATGCCATATTAAAATGTTGTACTGAAGCTGTGTTCCATTTTAGTTTTTTTGGGTACTTGCCTATCTGCATTCTTACACGTCAACTTTTCGTCTTAGTACTGCAGAAGCAGTGTTGCAAAAGATGGATGACATGGAGAAGATGCGTAGACGCCATAAAAAGGGCTTGGAAGACTTTGGGGTGTTCAGCAATGCTGAAGTAAATACTCACTTATTTTATCATTTTTGCATAAGTTGAATATTTTGCATAGGCAAGTAATTTAGTAGTAATTTTAATTTAGCTGCAATCAGTTCCTTCCAAAGAATTCATTACTGGTTAAGGATGATACATTTTCTGCAATGCAATATTGTGCATTTTAGCTCTCTAATCAGAACTTTTGGTATGGTACTACAGACATCCTTTAAGAGTGGAAGAAATACCTTCTGCAGAAGATGTACTTTAACAGCTTAGTGTTACCTCACGTCTTATAATACAGTTTCTGAACTGGCTTACGGTTTTGGAATGGAGTTAAAAATCCATTTGAAACAAGATCCAGTCAAACAAATACTTGTTTCAGGGCTTGAGTTTTTACTCCAAGTCTTATTAAAAGTTCTGGTTGTTCACAAAGATTACCTGGTGCTTTCCATCCCATTTGTGTAATTTAGCTGTTTTTTCTTTGTTCCTTAATCTTCTTTCTCATCGTGTTCAAGAACACTTATAGTTGGCAAATTTAACAAAAGGCAATGGATGGTTTCTGTGTTTCTTCTCAGGATCTTGATGCCGTTTAAATTCAACACTGTCAAAGTTGTATGCCGCATTTACTCTTAGTTTTTCTCTATTAGATTACAAATGTCTGCTGTGCGTTTGAACTATAGGCACATAGACTATTAAGATGTTTAAAATCTGCCTTTGGATTTTTGTTTAGATCTGAATTCCTTTATTTCCCTCAAGTTACAGAGTGGTAGAGGTTAGAAAGGACCCCCGGAGGTCAGAGTTCCAATCCCCCTCCTCAAGGCGCAGGTTGCCTAGGAGCGCAGAACGTCAACGCAGGTGTCCGCAGTACCTGGTGTAACTTCTCTCACCTACCTCTGAGCTATTTTGGTGTTGGTTGTGGTGTTTTTGGTTTTATTTCTTAGTATTGCTAGAAAGGTGTTTCTTTTTCCTTGATTCTGCCACGCTGTTGGGTTATTGGCTAATACACGCAGTTGTGTATCCAGGTAAGTGTTTAACCTCCTCAAGTGCGCCCTGGCATAGTACAGAAATTTTTGTTACAAATTGTAGATGTCATAATCATGATCCTGTTCACTCTTCCTGTGTGTTAATGTATTTTTGTGTGTATATTGTCCTCTGATAGTGTTATTGTGTAGGCAGCAGACATGCGTTTTTCTGCACTTTTGTGACTGATGTTTCTTGTTGCTTTTCATTAGGAAAACCTTGATATGTATTCCTGTGGAAAGAAGGAAATTGAAGGAGGTGATGTACCTGACAATCAACAAGAGCTTGAAGGTTAGTTCTGTTTTCAATTTTTCTTTACTATGTCCTAGCCAAAAGCCTCCTTTTCATGGTTTTGAGCAGCATGGAAAGAAATTTTGGGAAGTAAACTAGGCTGCCAGAGGTGTATGAGAATCTCCTCGCAAGTGCGAAGATCAGCTGGGCAGAACTTGGTGTTATCTGTTTTTGTACTTTAGCAGGTAGTCTATGGAAGCTGCTCTGGGGCCTGTAATAAGGAGCTTACTCAGTGTGAAATGAGATGAATGAGGTTAAGTCACAAAAGACCACGTTAACTTGGAAGTGCTGGGAAAACTTCAAGTTTTTAAGAGGAAAATGGTGACGAAGGCAGTAAGTTAGATGATCCTTGTGGGAACTTTCTAAATGAAAAAGAGTGGAGACAGAACCCGAGAAAAGCTTTGCCACTAACTACCAGAAGCTCAGAGAAGATCAGGGATGTGCAGTGGCAGGGAGGAAACCAAGGGAAGGATTTGAGATGAATGATGACTGGGCCTGGGCACAGCTGGAACTTGGGAGCTAGATTGTTTATTCTTACCACTGTAGATTATTAAAACTTTTTGTCAGGAAACACTTGATGGTAATAACAAGTAACAACTTTCTGAACTAGCTGTTTTCATAGGAGCAGCATTTTAGCTAAGCAAGGTGACAGACTTTTGTTATTAAACAGTATGATGACAAGTCACCTAACAGTTTCTGAGAGGACTGAACAATGTCTATATTGTATGCTTGTTTTGGATTAGGAATTTCTGAAATATGTGTTGCATGAATTTGTCTTAAGATTTTCCAGGTCTGCTGTATCATGTAGGTGATGGTAACATTAAAAGCTACAGGCACCTGTGTAGCGCATGCTGGTTTTAGGACTGTTTGCAACTATACCTAACAATTTAATGTCACATTGTGGTGCAGTAGCGTCATCAGAAGAAATTGAGGGTAAAGAAGATGGTGGTGCTGAAGATAATCAAAAGCGTTATGAGCTCCGACAGAGGAAAACTGTTGTGCCCTACCAAGCTCCTTTGGAAAGTAGGTTATGTGCATGGTTTCTTTGAAGAGTTTATTTCTTGCACACAAGTGAAATAGATATCTAGTTACCCGTCATTGCGTTTAATACTGTGCCTTCATTCTGCAAGTAAATTCTGGTCTTGTCAGATGCATGTGTCCTGTGCACATTATATTTCTATGCTCTCTAAGTGAGCACATTATATTTCTATCTCTAAGTGAGATCAGCTCACTTGCTGATCTTTTTTCATTTGCTCTGCTATATTGCATTTGCAGCACTATTGCTGACTGCTACAGTGAGGCTCCAGAATTTCTTCTGCTTTGTACTCCTGGTGCTTCTTTTGATATGTAATGTAGAGTTTATATTACCAGTTTTCCTTCAATGTACTATTCTTTCTATGTGAGAACTTTCTGATTTTTAAGTTAGGGGAATAAAGAAGAGAATTAAAAATCAAGGGTGACCCATCTGTCCTTGAAATAATAGTAATCGTCCTTAGAGTTGGATGGGACCTTTAAAGGCCATCTTGTCCAGCTCCCCTGCAATGAACAGGGAGATGCACAGCTAGATCAAGTTGCCTAAGTCCTAATCCAGCCTCGCCTTGAGAGGCTCCAGGGATGTGGCACCAAGCACTGGTGTGCTCTGGGCAACCTTATTTCCTTGCCTCACCGCCCTCACTGTAATGAAACAGGCTTGATAGTCTTGCTTCTATGGCTTTCAAGTCTCCTTAAAGGCAGGGATGTGTTCTCATTTCTACTGTGCACTGATGAAAAACAAGACCAAAACACTTGAAATTTCCTCTGGAATTAGAAATGGATGAAACGTGACACTTTCTGAATCTTTTCCTATTTTACTCTCTCAGATATGTTACCTCTTTTTTTTTTTTTTTTTAACTTTGTCTTCAACAGGACCGAGACAACGCAAGATACTCTTTCCCAGCCTACGGAAACGGCCTAACAGGTTGGTGCACAGCCAGTGATAATTGACATTTCTTTGTAGTGTTTTCAGTCCTGTTACTTCATCAGCTTTAAAGGGCTTTCAGTTTGTTGGTGGTTACAGGGTAACCTTATGATTATCGCTGTGGTAATCTAAGCCTATAAAGGAAAGCAACCTTTGGATAGGAGGAGGTGGGTATTTCCTGGATTTTTAAAAATACAGTATTTGTGGGTCACTGATTTGATGGTTATGGAGGCCATACCTGAGGCTGTGTCATTGAAATTCTTTTGTTCTGAAACTGAAGCCAGAATCTCCCTCTGAAATCTTTCGTCTTGAAATTTTTTTGTTGAGGATCATTAAGGTGAAATTATGAAGTTGAAGGATAAGTTCATTAGACTTAGAAGGGAAGGCTTTATGAAAGAGTTTGTAGAGTTTTTAACCACTCAACTACTGGTTTCTTATTGAAATCACTTAATGTTTCTGTACGAAGCTTACCTTCAACAAGAAAAATTCCTCGTGAAGTGATAAATTGCCATAGTAATGATGAAGGCTTCTTAGGTTCTGTAAGCAGTTAAAGCACAGAGGATGCTGTTGATAGGCACATTAGGAATGTTTTGTTCAGCATTCCTGAAAATAGATGGTCAGGGAAGGGTTTTTTGAAGCCTAACTTACATCAGTGAAAAGGGGTAATGTTTCACAGAGAGGATAATCAGAGCTAAATGTGTAAGTGTGCCAGGTTGATTGGACAAAATGAGCAGTTTGTTCATGAACTTTCTTTGTAAAATAAAAACATTTTAGAGGAAAAAAAATTAATTTTGCTGTTCTGAGGAAAATAATGTAACATGCTTTTGAAATCAGATTGTTAAAAAGCACACTGAACTGGAAAGTTAATGGATCTTGGAGAGTGAGTTTTGAGATA